GGGCCCACGTCGTTCGTACCCGCGTTCGGGCCCACGTCGTTCGTACCTGCGTTCGGCCCCATGTCCGGTCAGCCAAGATTTTGATTTCGAATTCTTTGAGTGACTCTCATGGGCAACAAAGGTGGAGGACCTCCATCCCCGATGCACGGTCGTACCCAGGTTCGGCCGTACATTCACCTATGATGCTGTTTGTCCCCGTCAGTCAGCCGATCACATGTAGCATCATAGGATGATGTACGGCCGAACCTGGGTACGACTGTACATGGGGGATGGAGGACCTCCACCTTTGATGCACGAAAGAGTCAATGATTCTCAGCAACATTCGAAGATCAAACCCGTCAGTGGACAGTTCAGTCTTCATTCATCGTGAATGCCTGCTGTGGCAGGACCCAGTCGTGGCGGCAAAGCTGATGAGATTCACACTCATGGCGCCCCTGGCCAGATTACCTGCACATGCGCTGCTCTTGATATTGCGTGTCAACATACTGCTGTGGGTAGGAGAATCTTGTAGCCACATGTGTTCATGGGAGGTCCAGAGCCAAGTTTAGGTGTCATTGATCCCCGCCAGCATGGCCCAGTGGTCTTGGAAAACTCGATACGCCCTTCTTGGTGGACCTCATGTATCACTTCCGGGTACCATGTTCAAGTTGCGTTGTGATTGTGATTGCGATTGTGATTGTGAATGGAAACTACAGCCTTGGCTCTGAAGGCATTTGCCCTGGCTCTAAAGGCCAGCAGGGGCTTTGCACCACCAATAGCCATGGAACCCTATTTCAATCCCATGGAGATGTGGCGACGGATCCTTGCCATGGTCATCTATGTCACGAAGCGCTTGACACCTTTGGTCACCGGACTAGTGCCACCCTTACCTTTGATGTTCAACCAGAAGAGCACTTTACAAGCCCAGCTTCGAGGAATACCCAACGAGCCCAAGGATCCCTCCGACTCAACGAGCCAGGCTTCGTGGGACATCTTGGACGCAGTGGAGATGGAGAGCTCACACCAGAGAGAGATCACACCAGAGAGCCAAGACATGTCCAGTGGAGAGATCACACCAGAGATCTACCTGATGATGGGAACACCGCCACTGTGTCTTCATCGGAAAGGGGCCCAATTGGCAGTGAGCCGGAGCCGCAACGAAAAAACACTTTATTGGATGTGCCCTCTGCAAGGAAAAGATCGATGCGACTTCTTCGCGTGGACAGAGCATCAGCCCCTGATCAAAAGGACAGATCACAAGGTTGGGCGCAATCACCTCTACACAACCAAGGCCGGAACGAATGCCTTCAAGATCCAAAAAAGATGCCTGCAATGCCACAAGATCATCTTTGAAGAGAAGACTGCGCTTGGCGCGGCCAAGGCTTTAGAGAAGATATCGCGGAATGCGCATACGCACCGCCATCAGGGCTAGGTAGCTTGACACACAAGCCCGTCATCGAGCGATACCGATTGAGTGTTGATAAGGCAAATGATGAATTAGCAATTAAAAGTTGCTGGCCCGGTATCTTGAGACAGCAGGACCTCCTTGCTTCAAAAAGGCGTTAAAAAGGGCGATGCTTCAGTAGGACCTTCTTGCTGTCAGGCGACGTAACAATTTACGTGTGCTTGGACGTTGTTACTTGTCCGGCCAGGCCATCTGCTCCGCTTGTCGGAGGCTTTGAACCACACATCAGACAAGTCCACTTTATAGTACAGCCTGAACATTGTGTTGTAAACCTGATTTTCTGACAGAGCATTTGTTGAATTTAAGTCGAATGTTCTGACTTTGATTTTCTGAATCAGAGTTATTTTCGGACTATGATGTTCTGATTGAGTATTTTATCATTGGGTTTCTGTGATTTTCTGAGCATGATAGTTAAGTTATTATTTCTGAGTTTGATTTTCAGTTTTGCTTTTTGACTTTGATTTTGTGAGCGACGAGATGATGCAACTTCCCCGCTTGCAAGGTGTTGCCCACGGCGGTGCGCTCTGCTCTCCCCCGGGTCACGGACTCAGACTGTCAGTCAGACATGATGCTTCAGATAAATTGGCTGTTTTTACAGAAGCCTTCAGTCATGTTCACATTCAGAAGCCTTCATTACAAATTCTTAGTCTTTTTCATTCAGATTCACTGTCCTTTTCAGGTTCACATTCTTTTTCATTCACTTTCAAGAAATTGTTCATTCAGATTCACAAGAATCTTTGTCACATTCAGACTTACTAATGTTTTGCAAGCAACCTTGAACTTGCATTGATTCATGTATTTGCAGCAGTTTTGTGGTCAGCTACCGGCCCTGCCCACTGTCAAACAAATGTCAGTCATGTGTTCTCAAGCTAAATGGCAACGTTCCACATCAACCACTCAAACACATCACACTTTCCACTGTCATCATTTTCCGACACTGTAGCTTAGGGCAATTACTGACCTTTTTAATAGCCTTCCTCTCAGCCACGCAGTGCCCGGCATGCGACAGACTGTTGCCAAAAAACTTCTTCGCAGATTCGTTGTGGAGGTGGCAACAGGGTGGTGGCCCTGAGCCCGATTGGGTGTGGCGCTGCAGGGCATGCGAGCTGCAAAAGCCGGTGGATCAGAAGACGACATGGTGGTTTTGGAAGAAATTCCTCTACCAGTTCAAAAAACTGGAGCGCCACGGTGTCCCAGAACTCCTTGAGGAATACTCCCAGGTTCATCGTGCCTCGCTCATGTTTAATGATTTGTAGGATGGTTCAAGATTCTATGTTTAAGTCTGTATTGGTCGGACACATTTTCCATGACAAAACGCCACCATGTTGAATCTGTGTTGACTGTGTTGCTTCCTTTTTCAACCAAGGCAACGTCAACCATGATTCGTGGCACCTGCGCGCTGATGCACCTCGGCTGGGCCACAAAATCCCGGCTTTGCTGTTGCGTCTGCTGGGATGCAATCACTTCGACACGCCTTGTGGAGGCGGAAGGTGGTTCGAAGCGTTCATGGAGCACTCGCGACGGGCCAACTTGGACGATGTGGCTGACGCGATGGAGAAAAGTGCTTGGTATCTGTGGCAGACTTTGAAGTACAGCTCTTATGACCACAATGAAATAGATGCCATGATCACGATCTGCGTTCAACTTCACAGCCTCGAGAAGGAGATCTGGAGCAAAGTAGGCTGGGTGGATCGCGCAGCAGCACAGGCTATTACTAATTAATTGGCAAGTTTTGCCTGGAATAAGGGTTATCCACCATGTGGGTGTTCAGTCAGAACTTGCAAAAAAGCAGCGGTCACCCCATGACAAAGTTCCAAAAGTTTGGCAAGGACTATGGTGGAGAACCCTCTAGGGATCTAAAACAGATTCCCACCCATAGAGCGTTCAAGATGTGGAAAAAAGGCCATCGCAGGAAGTTATGGTCAATTGTTTGTACATGAGTATAATACTGTATACCGGCTATGACGTTTGAAGGCACATGCTTTCCTTTTCCGTGGACCTTTGCTTCAGATTCATGTGTTCCTTTTCGCTAAGGCCGCATTGTTCAAAACTCAGTCTTCCTCAGCCGCCAGCCACGTGATTGATTTTGATTTCATAGTAAATAATGTTTTTCTGAGTGTGATTTTCTAGTTTGTTCTGATCTGGTTTTGAATGTAAGTCGAATGTTCTGACAGTTCTGAATGTGACTTTCTGAGTAATTTTCGGACTATGATGTTCTGATTGAGTTTTTCTCATTGGTTTTCTGTGAGTTTCTGAGGATGATATTATTTCTGAGTCTGATTTTCAGTTTTGCTTTTTGACTTTGATTTTGTGAGCGGCGATATGATGCAACTTCCTCGCTAGCAAGGTGTTGCCCACGGCGGTGCGCTCTGCTCCCCCCCGGGTCACGGACTCAGACTGTCAGTCAGACATGATGCTTCAGATGGCTGTTTTTACAGAAGCCTTCAGTCATGTTCACATTCACAAGCCTTCATTCAGGTTTCCTTTTCAGATTCACATTCTTTTTCATTCAGATTCACTTCAAGAAACGTTCATTCAGATTCACAAGAATCTTTCACATTCAGACCTACGAATGTTTTGCAAGCAGCCTTGAACTTGCATTGATTCATGTCTTTGCAGCAGTTTTGTGGTCAGCTACCGGCCCTGCCCACTGTCAAACAAATGTCAGTCATGTGTTCTCAAGCTAAATGGCAACGTTCCACATGGACCACATCAACCACTCAACACACATCACACTGTCCACCTCATTTTCCGACACTGTAGCTTAGGGCAATTACTGACCTTTTTAATAGCCTTCCTCTCAGCCACGCAGTGCCTGGCATGCGACAAGCTGTTGCCAAAAAACTTCTTCGCAGATTCGTTGTGGAGGTGGCAACAGGGTGGTGGCCCTGAGCCCGATTGGGTATGGTGCTGCAAGGCATGCGAGCTGCAAAAGCCGGTGGCTCAGAGGACGACATGGTGGTTTTGGAAGAAATTCCTGTACCAGTTCGAAGAACTGGAGCGCCACGGTGTCCCAGAACTCCTTGAGGAATACTCCCTGGATCATCGTGCCTCGCTCATGTTTAATGATTTGTAGGATGGTTCAAGATTCTATGTTTAAGTCTGTATTGGTCGGACACATTTTCCATGACAAAACGCCACCATGTTGAATCTGTGTTGACTGTGTTGCTTCCTTTTTCAACCAAGGCAACGTCAACCATGATGCGTGGCACCTGCGTGCTGATGCACCTCGGCTGGGCCACAAAATCCCGGCTTTGCTGTTGCGTCTGCTGGGATGCAAGCGCTTCGACGCGCCTTTTGGAGGCGGAAGGTGGTTCGAAGCGTTCATGGAGCACTCGCGACGGGCCAACTTGGACGATGTGGCTGACGCGATGGAGAAAAGTGTTCGGTATCTGTGGCAGACTTTGAAGTACAGCTCTTATGACCACAATGAAATAGATGCCATGATTACGACCAGCGTTCAACTTCACAGCCTCGAGAAGGAGACCTGGAGCAAAGTAGGCTGGGTGGATCATGCAGCAGCGCAGGCTATTTAATTAATTGGCAAGTTTTGCCTGGAATAAGGGTTATCCACCATGTGGGTGTTCAGTCAGAACTTGCAAAAAGCAGCGGTCACCCCATGACAAAGTTCCAAAGGTTTTGCAAGGACTATGGTGAAGAACCCTCTAGGGCCTTTTTGAAGGCACGGAATGGATCTAAAACAGATTCCCACCCATAGAGCGTTCAAGATGTGGAGAAAAAAGGCCATCGCAGGAAGTTATGGTCAATTGTTTGTACATGTGTATATGCGCATAATACTGTATACCGGCTATGACGTTCGAAGGCACATGCTTTCCTTTTCCATGGACCTTTGCTTCAGATTCATGTGTTCCTTTTCGCTAAGGCCGCATTGTTCAAAACTCAGTCTTCCTCAGCCACCAGCCGCCGCTTGTCACTTTGCATGTTTCTCAAGTCTGCGTCTGAATCTGAGTCTGAGTCTGAGTGTGATTTTTCATCAGTCAGCAAGGCCGGCGACTTAGAACAATTGACTTTTACACCATAATCAAAGAAAGTGGACCGGCCTACGCCAGGTTGAAAAAATCCCTCGCTACTTGTCTTTGTGTTGTCACAGGGCTCAGATGGGCCACGATGTTCAGCAAGTTTATGAATGACCCTGACATCATCACAATAATCATCAATCAAGGGGCCACTAAGTGGGGGAGTTGAAGATTGTTGAAAAGCATTTACGGGGGTATAAAGCACCTGCATGGCTCCCTCCACAAGTGTCCCGGCTTTTCCAGCGCTTAGACATGCACACCACCAGAAAACACAATGCCAAGACAGGCCAAGACAATCAAAATCAATCAAACATCAGAACAATTCAGAACATATCAGAACAAACTCCACCACTCCATGTGAAGCCGATACGAACCTCGTGATCAGTATGGGTGGATGGTGCCTGGATGAGACTGTCTGACTTGCAATAAGGTACTCCCCAAATCATCACGTGATATCATGCGTCTGTCCCCCAGTTTGTGTTGAGGGACCTTTTCATCACGAAGCGCACTATGGGGCACTGATTGCTCCAGGGAAATGCATCCTCACTCCAACACCCCTCAAGTGGAAAACAAAGACCAGAAATGACCAGAACATACCAGAACCATGTTTCCTTTTGCTACTGGGTTCCTTTTGCAAGCGGTGGAGTGTGGTGGAGTGAACTGGACTGGAGTGGAGTGAAGTGGAGTGGAGTGGCGTGGAGTGGAGTGGCGCGGAGGCCATGTGCTGCACACAGACACTGTATGATACTGTATGATACTGTATGGCTCTCACCCCCCAAGCTCACCGCGACACATGAAAAGAGGACTCCTGAGCTTGGCGCCATAGTCTATCCCTGTTCTCCACCCGAGGTGGTGGCCAGAGCCAGCCCCGGGGGTCCCCAGGTCGGCAAATCCAATCCCCAACCAAATCCGCCCATGCTACGCGTTGGGGTCCTGACGGATCAGCCGGGTTATTGAAAAATCTCTGACCCGGGGCCAGGCAAGGAATATGACTACTCAAGAACCCTCGTGTCGGTGCTGGGGGGCAAAATTGGCGCCATTAGTGTTCCAGCATCATTTTGGATCCATGCAGTAGCTTTCGCATGGTCCATGCGGAGTGATGCTGGACACGCATGCACATACACATGCTGGACACACATGCACATACACAATGTTTTGGGGACAGTGGTGGAGTGTGGTGGAGTGTGGCGAAATGGAGTGGAATGGATTGGAGTGGAGTCCAAGCTCCAAAGTGACGATGATCAAGAGCGAAGATCACGATAGCGGAGTGGGGGTAGAGCATTATTTTATCAGCAAAATATGGCAAACCTGAAGAAACTTTAAACAAATTGGTTTGAGTTGGTGCCAAGGATATTTTCCGCTCCATTTCGAATAAATTACTAATAAACAATGATAGAGTGATTCTAGACATCCTGACATATTATAAGGACACTTCAGTTGTTCTTGGATGTTGTGTTTTGGGGTGTTGGGCACCTTACCCCCCCTCCCCCCGCCCTAGACCATCTTTTAATTCATAATGCAGCATTCAGACTCAACCGTTCAAAATAGTCAGTTACATGAATCACTTATTGCCTTCAAATTTAGATTATCTGTCCAAAGCATATTCTCCAAGAGAGACTCGCTTATACATACATGATGCCATTCAGACTTGACGGTCCACAAGACTCACTTAATTTTTTAATGTGTCCTCAAGTTCAGACTCAACTGGTTAATAATATTATGAATCATAAGTTAAGAAATCTTATTCTTCCTCCCCTTCTGCTTTAGCATCCAAATCAAAGGTGAATAGGATAACTGAGAGCATCTTCATCTTGTTCCTCCCCCTCTTCTTTAGTATCAATATCATTAGCGTCAGAAACAAGGAAACTGAGAGTCAAAAAAAGGTGACAGTCATTTTTGCAAGCCCCTCTGATAAGGTCATTATCCAAAAATTGTACACAAGTCTCAAAAGAATACTAAAGCCCGAGCGCCCCAAGACCACAGCAAGCAATGCGCGTGCGGTGGGGACTGACCTTTCCGGTGCTTCTGGTTGGCCCCAGTTGTCCGGAAAAAAAGCCAACTTCGTCTGCAAGAAAAGTTGGAGCTTCGTCTGGTTGGTCGTTGTTTGACGTATGAGAAACTCGGAGGTAAGGTCAACTGATTGGCAACCTTGTGAGCTGCTTGTCGTCATTCGACCCTTTCTCTTTGCGGTCAAAAGTCGTTGAGCGCTCCTCTGGTGACGAGATCGTGCGCCGAAGGTCACCTCTTAGACAGAGCACAAGGTGAAAAACAATATGAAAGAATGAGGACGGTTGCAAGAAGCTACTAGGGGCTCCTGGCCTTACTACTAGGAGCAAGGACGCTACTAGGGGCTCCTGGCATCGCTACTAGGAGCAAGGACGCTACTAGGACATTCCCGGTCCAAACCTCGTGGCTAACAAGGTGGCTTGCAGCTTCCACTTGATGAGGGGGAGAAGAGAAGCATGGGGCGTTTCATGTGTTTCGCACCTTCAAAAGATTCAAGACTGGCTCCGTCTGCAAGAATAGCATCGACTTTGCGATCAAGTGCGACCTGAGATACATATGCAAAGCTGAGTAGCTTGGCCCAGCTTGGCATGCTTAGATACTCCAAAACTGAGACTTGCACAAGTAAGCCACTATCTATGTGGTCATGGATTCCTCAAGAAAGAAAGGGCAGTTTGCAAAGAAGGGTACAGTGTCAAAGGCGACACAACCAACATAGTTGATCATGTCCTTCCAGGTCATCTTCCAGCTCAGGTCTGGTACAACAAGGATCATACTGAAAGATGCTATCCTTGGTCCAATATCGCTTCAAACCGCTTTTCCTGTCTCAGGAACCGGTTTGAACTTCCTATGCCTATTTCTTATCGGTTTCAGCTCCCAGCCCAGCAAGCCGGATTTCCTTCTTGCCCATGGATTGGGTCGCAGCAAAACCTAAAGAACATTGATGATCTTTGGATAGCTTAAGCCAGTTTCAGCCGGTTTAAACGTCGAGTGCAAAGTTCTGGTAATTGCTGGGGTGAGTGACAAGAAAAATAGATAAGCGCGCAGCTCGCGCGAGAATCCATTGACCCAGCACCTCATTCTGCTTGTCATGCAAACCTGCTGACCTTTTTTGCAGTTTAGGATCCCAGACGTGGCCGGGGAGGCTGAAACGGAGGCCGTCAACGCAATGATGCCAGGACATCTTCGCCAAGATCTGGTTGTCAACACACCTGAACGGTATGGCAATTCAGTCAGTTCATCAGAGTTCATCATTCTATGCATACCTTTGATTGATGACCCGTTGATTCGGCCATGCAGGAAAGCAAAGAATTGTACAGCAATGGACTGGGAGCTGTTGAGATCATCCGTTGGGTCATGTAAGTCATGTGTCCACCTCCAACCTACGTTCAAAGAACTACATGTCATACCGCTTCAAAGGAGACCGCTTGTGAATAGGCATGTGAATTCCAGTGCAAAGACCTATCAATCTCAAGCATTACATTTGTGGCTTCAGCACCGTCCAGGGTTACACATGGGAAAACTCCAAATCAAAGGCTTAAAGGCTCAATGACCTACCTAACTAATCTATACTAGTCCAACTACTTTCAACCTTGATACTTGTTTACAGCCTTTGCATCACCCCCTTGGTGCGCTTTAGAGTGGTGTAACCGCAAGCTTCTCAAGCAAGAGGCCTTGACAAGCTCCGTGCAAAGCGTGAAGCTCCATCGATGCTGGGAGAACATTTGCTCTTTCAATGTTCCAAGGTCGGCCCTTTTAAGGTCGAACGCTTTTGCGTCAATTGCGACTTCATATCAATCTGCTTCGTCTTTTTTGCGGGGCAGAGGCCGCTATAGGAAAAGGTATAAGCTAGTTAGTAGCTCCATTAGGTACTGGACGCTCCTAGGTAGGACGCAGGATAGCTCGCGCTTCTTCAAGGAAGCTCCCGCGACCCCCTAAGGAGCTTCCTTGAAGAAGCGCTCGCACTGTTCATTTGATTCCAAGGGAGCAAACTTTACACTCCTTGTCACTTGTCAACTTCTTTGCTCTCCTTTTGGCAAACAGAACTTGTGGCTTCTGCTCAGAGAACTGCCATGTGTCTGCTGCATAAAACTAACTATATATGTCTACAGTATGTGTTGTGTTGTCATGTGATATGTGTGTCCTTTTAATTTGCTCATCACGTGTATAATCAAGCTGTTATTGTACCTTTACAATGTAGCAACTGGCCCAAACTGTGACTTGAACATCCCTTTGTCAGATCAAAGGAGCTGCGCAAATGGGGCCCAAAGGACGTTCCTCACAGCGGCAGGGAAGCAAACAAGACAATTGCATGAGACAATTGTGCTCGTGGCGTCTACGGAGACTTGAGTATCCTCACCCACTTGTTGAGCTTTATAAAGCTGAAAATTGCTTGGTTGCGGCCATGGCTTTGCCAGTGGCTTTGCCACTCAACTGGACGCTTGTAACCATCGCTCTGCCCAAGGGCTCCATGCTTCGGCAACCGATGTGTTTTCCTGTCATTGGGCTCAGGGGAAAGAAACAACGTTTGGAATTGTTTGGACGTTTCTGGGCGCTTGGGGCAAATGGCCCCCAACGCTGCCTGGAGGACTAAGCAAAGTCCTCGAAGGAGCATGGCCTTGAGGGCATAAGGGCTGAAATAGCGCTTTTGGAAGGTGCAGGTCCGCCGCGCGTAGACGGTCGTGTGGCTTTGGGACCATTTTGTGTTTTTGGAAGAACGTGTTTTATTGAATTACATTGTGATTATATAGCATTTCTGTGGTGGTTCAGGGGTTGGAAGAGTTCTTGTGTTGGGAAAAACTACTTTGCATCCACATGATTGATCTGAACTCAGCTGCCTGTTGTTCTTCGAGGGAGCGTCAGAACAACTTGCTAATCTGTACAAGCACTTCGTCTGCAGAGAGATTTTGCAGGCAGTGCGCTCGCCACACCGATTGATAAAGCAACTCCTCGATCCTGGGTTTCATGACACTTTGTGATGACAATGTTGTGATGTCGATGACTATGTTGTGAAATCGATTTACCCCACCCCACCGCACCGCACCCCATTTTTGCACCCCATTTTAATCACACGACTAACCGATGAGAATGTTGTGATGTTGATGACAATGTTGTGAAATCGGTTACACTGTTTTGATATCGATGACACTGTTGTGATATCGATGACAAACAAAGTACTGCAAATGGCAAATACCATGCATGCTCTACAGAATTTGCTCGAAACCATGAAAAGCATATGCCATAGAAAATGCTTATGGCAAATGCAACGCTCTCTGCAGTGACCCTGCAGACACACAGAAAGTGCTGTAAATACACAGAATTTGCAAAAGAGTAGTCGAAATGCCACGGCCGTCTATGCGCGGCAAACCAACTACTTGGGCCGCGGTACAGGTCTGTCAGAGACTTTTAACTGTTAACTAGTTTGTTGGGGCTTCCAGCTGTACGGTAGGCCATCACCATGTGCACCGGCACCTGCTTCTCAAGCTGAGTCTTAAAGTGATACGAAGCAAAACACAGAGCAAAGCGTGACATCCGCCTCCACTATCCTGTCACGTTGAAGTGTTTCCTCCAGGGCTTCGAAATCATTTCATCAGCGAGCATCTTAACCGTCTCAAAAAATGAACTCTTCCATACTGCGCTTGGTTGTGGCTTCGTGGCACCTATTTGCGAGATTGACACGATTTGCCAAAGGTGAAAACACGTTACAGTATAGCAGAGCAAAGCCAGTGTTGGCCCAAAACACTGTTTCACCGGCTCGGCTTGCAACAGGGCAATTTTGAGGTCACGGTGTGATTGGCAGAATTATGTGTGCAGGTCGAGCTTCTTTTGTATGTTTGGGTCTGCGACCCTGTTTGTTACTTCAGGGCACGGAGAGTGTGCAAAAGTAAGGTAGAAAACACACAAAAGATACAAAGAGCAACAAACACTAATTAATGTGTAAGAAGAGGCGAATGTTGGTTCTTCAGTTGCAGTAGACAAATGGAGGAAGTGTGGAACACAACGAGAATGATGCAAGCATAGTTTTCCTTGTGTCCCGCGTTCCTGGTCCTTTCTCACTCGCTTTATGGTGAAAAAGTCTCGTAGACACCGGTCCTTGATGTCACCGCGGACCCACTCCGTGTGGATTCGGGAGAACATCAGGCGAGGCCTTGAGGTGGATCAACAGGCTTCACCGGTTCACCGTCTTCAACGGGAGCAGGTGAGCAGAGCAGGTAAGGCATCGACAAAAGAGCCAGGAATTCCGGATCACCATGTTTTGTTTTCACCTTGTCACTGACTTATCACCGGGCTTTACAAAAAGTGGCTGGACTGCCGAAGTTAGTCAAAAATGCTTTACAGCCTCAAAAGGAAAAGGGCCAGACTCCCGTAGCTTCGAAGGCTGCAGCTACTTGGCGATCTGCCTGGCATTTGCCAAACTGGCCATATCAGGTTGTAGGCCATGGCTCTTAGGTTGGAGGCCATCACTATCAGGAATCTTGCCTCTGGGGATACAGGCTGCGATACTGCTTGGAGAAGCCGAGCCAATCCAGCCTGGCCCAAAAAAGGGAAAAACATAATTGCATTGCTACCCAACAGTCGTTTCCTATCTCTACAACTCACAGTCGGAAAACGGAGGAAGCTACATATATCAACTTGAGTTTATAAGGAGATTGAGTGTCCGTCATGTCTTTGACCTTGTCAAAGCTACCCTTCAAGAACCCGAAAAAAAGACGTGACCGACTTGGTCCCGCGGGTGCAGCGCAGCCCCGCGCCTTCTGCTCCGAGGTGAGCCTCCGACATTGGCCGAAGTCAATGAGGCCAATGCGACCGTCAGGCCTTGTCTTCCCACTCTTCCCGGTGTTTGAGAGAGAAACAGGCAGACACGCAGACAGGCAGCCAAGGCAGACAGGCAGGCAGCCAGAGCCAGTCAGCCAGGAAGCCAGGCAGGCAGGCAGCCAGGCAGACGGACAGCCAGGCAGGCAGGCAGGCAGGCAGACAAACAGATAGACAGGCAGACAGGCAGACAGACAAACAAAGAGAATGATAAAGAAAAAAGATCTCACAACAAAGAGAAAAGAAACCGAAAGGCTCAACACCTTTAAAAAAGACGAATCAACATATTAATCAGAGCAATTAGTCGTGCATGTTGGCAGGTAGGAATGCTCAGCAGAAGGGTTATTGTACTCATGTTTGTGCTTAGTAGCAAGGACACTACTAGTAGCTCCTGGCCTTACTACAAGGAACAAGAAGCTACTAGGAGCAAAGGGCATCGCTACTAGGAGCAAGGACGCTACTGGTAGCTATTTGCTACTAGTAGTAATGCCCTTGTTACTACGAGTTGTAGCGATGTCCTTGTTATTACTAGCTGTTGTACTCATGTTTGTGTTTATCTTCATGTCACTTCGTGTCACTTGCTCACGAACTTCGCTAATCTAGGTTATGCGCATCATCAGAATGTTCCCGGGATGGGGATCAGCCTAGGGGACAGCCGGTCATGGCTAAATGATGACCTGCATAAATCCCATGTTTAGGTCTGCACGTTGAAGATCGGGCAGAAAAACAGCTGGTAGCCTAATCATCATGTGTGGCAAGTAAGCAAGAACTTCTTGCACACACCAGTCAGCATCCGTATTGTTTGCAAAAGCTGTATTGATTCAACCCTGTCGGGTTGGATGTTTGTTGATTCCAAATCAAACACTATGAAACGCTCTCTTCTGTTGTTGCTTTCAAGTTTCAACAATTTTGGAGCAGAAAGAATCTGAGTGCCGATCCGTGAGCATCTAGAACCTTAGAGCACAAAAGCCCAACTACGTAGCGGAGGTAGCGAACCCCCAAAGACCAACGAGCTCAGTCTGTGGCAAGCCGCAGCGCAGAGTGAAGATCTGCAGTTGGCCCAGTGCCAGACCTTAAAATGCATGTTTCGCTCAGTGGATTGATATTCTTCCTTCTTCCTTCCCACTTGTGCCTCAAATTGGCCAGCTTCCGAGCAAGCCTCAGCTAAAAACGCCCGCAGAAAGCACTTCCTCGTCTCCAAGGTTTGGACCACAGCATCGCATCCAAACTCACCCAGCGGAGAACCTTGGCTCCACTGCGCCCACCAATGCGCACAGCTGTACAACATTGTATAATGATCTTTCAGTTTCTGAAAGACAGTGTAGTTTTCCTCTCTTTTGTCTTTCAGTTTGGGAACAAACCAAGAATGCAGTACACCTTCTTGGTCGCTGACTACTGTCAATCTGTTCCAGGGGAAGCTAGTAGAGGATTCCTCCTTGAGCATCAATCTTTGCTAATAGCTCAGAGTGACAGCCATCAACCAAGGCAAACACACTTCCAGAAGATTCGGCATCTTGCACTGTACCTCGGAACAAGCAAAAAGAATAGCATCTGTGCTGAAAAGAAGTGTGAAAAGTGTGAAGCTCTGCATTGAATCAAGAGCTATCTTTGCAGTGAATCGAGCTGACAAAACTCAATCGGCCGAACACACAAACATATCTTTTCTGTTTCGATCTGGTGGAGTTCTGCACACAGACAGTTGCGAAGCTTTCTGCTTCGAGGTTGGCTACACTCGACCCTCAGACGACTAACCTGGCGGGGAATTGTGTTTGAACAGCTTAGAGTGCAATGCGGAACATGCAGAAGCATCGTTCGCTTTCTTAGGTTTGCCACGAATACCTTCCAATGACCAACTGCGCCTATAGGTAACATATCGCCCTGCAGTTTCCGATGGCCTGACACGAAAAAACTATATACCCAAATGCACTTGGGCAAAATAGCCCTTTCTCAGTCGCCTGATGATCTTCATCACCTGCGTGAGGATCCGTTGCTGAAGAACGCTTTGATAATGAAAGTCTGGGCTCACAAGCTTTACTTCACATCCGCCCGCACCGAAGGTGCTCAGGGCGTGATCATCCGGATGGCATAAACAACTGTAATTAAGGTACAGGTTTACCTGGGGGGGAGGCTATTTTTTGGCCCAAACCATGGGTTTTTGATAGGTCACGACGGCGGACTCCAAAAAACACTGTTTTTTGCTTTTACAGCACGGAATGGACTAGTTCGTGCACGCGCCCGCCTGGAACCGGCAAGAGAAAAGTTAAAAAACTGTGTTTTTTTGACGTGTGGTCTTCGATTTTCGGTTTTGAGACGCATATTTTTTTCATGTGTCTTGTCGAGAGGCCGGGAGGCTAGATTTTGTGATTTCGGAGCTGTTTGGGTGACGGCTTTCGCCGTTTTTGTTGGGCAGAAACATTGGTTTTTGCAGTGTTTTTGTACATTGCCGAGGCTTGAGCTTTTTGCACAAAAATGTAAAAAAACTCGCAAGCAGCAGTGTTTTTGGCGACCATGTTGTTGAACACATCGAAAATTGGGGTGCTTTTTGACAGCAGGTTCAAAAACACTGTAAATAGCGGTGTTTTGGGCCACGGCAAGCTCAGAAACATCGCTATTTGCAGTGGTTTCTGATGGGTACTGCCATGGGGGTACCCCCCTGTACTCCCCACCTTCAATTAATTTTTTTATTATTTTAGGGTGGGTTGAGTATCTTACTAAATATTATTACACTATGCCTGGACTAGGCAAAATAATATTCAAGAAAATGATGCTGATCTGATGCCAACAGATATCTATAGATATCTCAACTTCCAGCAAGATTCAGCTAGTAACGTTCCAGACAAAAAGTCATTCTTTTTTCCGCTTGCTGCGCAAGGTCTGTGCTGTCTGTGCTTGTCTAAGCTAATTTGGACGATCGACATCTATCGATCCAGACCACAAGGCTCCATGGAATCCCACAAATGACATAGAGCCTGGTCAAACCCCAAGTTGGATCCTTACAGCTTCACTGCACAAGGTCCCATGTGGTGGACCTTGCCCAGCCATCTCAAGAACACCGCTGGACTCTGTCCATGCTTCGGCGCTACACTCTGGAGCTCCAGCATCACCAAGCGCCCTTGCCTCAGTGAAGCTTCTTCCAAAAAGAGGTGTATAAAAATTTCACGAAATTTCAGCAATTCAAAACATATCCAAACACATGTAAGGGATTGATGGGATTGTAAGGGTGGCACGGCACACCCTTCTGCGCTGGAGTCAAATTTGGCTTTGAGTACACGTTCTGGAAGTAGCCCGGAATTCGTGCTTCAAGCTCCGGGTAAGCGACCATGATGTGTTTCAACGCAGCCGTGGTGATCTTGATCTGGCCGTCTTTGTTCACTGGGTCGAAATGAATAGTCTTGAAGTCCTGCAGCATGGCACGGAAATATCGTACAATGTTTGCTTTGCCACCGTTGCTAAAAGGCTTGAAGTCATTCTCCGTCAGGTAGTTCGGCTGGGTAGGCACTTTTCCCTTGCCTGGATGGTCCCCGAAGCTATCAAAGTTTGTGCCCGCTTCAACCGCTGCGTCGAAAGCTTTGAGCGCTGAGGTAGAAAGAATGAACTTTACCTGGGTTCTTCAAAGATGTCTTTCATTGTCTTTCAATCCACTCCACAAAGCAAAACAACCAGTTTTTCAACAAAAACATACGCAAACCATTGCAAGCTGCATGGTTGCCAGTCACAACCAGTTCATACTCTTGACACGGGACTTCATACAGGATGGATCCATCTTTAGCATCCAACGACACAGTCGGAGAGAGGGACCTGGACTATCAAAGGTTGGAGATTGCAAGATCTTGCAAAATACAACTGAAAACATGAAACACATGAAAAAATATTGAAAAATATGTGAACAGAACAACTGAAGATCAAAGCCGCGCCACGATCCGATGAAAGTGTTGAAGATACCCGCAGACTCCCAAGGCATCAAAAGTTGTACGTGAACTGCCGTGATCATGTGCACCGGCAATTGCCCGGCCGGCAACAGCTTCTGCCCATTGGATTTCACCTGGCCCTGGCTCTGGGCTTTCTTGACATTCTTCTTGAGCCTGCCTGCCCTCCATGCTGCCACAGGAATGGCGAAGCGCAAGCCACCGGACGTTGCACCTGACAGCAGCGGCCGAACCACAAGCAATTGAAATCGCCTTCCATGCTCGTCAGAAAGGGTCGTGGATGGGCCCAATACCTTGGGAACACTGGCTGCATCTGGGCCATTGCTGGAACCAAGCCCCTCCTGCACGTCAGCCACAGTCCTTTCTGAGAACTTGAACCATTGTTGATGGCGAGATTGTCGTTCAGATGAGCATTGAAACGCCTGACGTGCTTGCGCCAGTTGTTGCTGTGCAACATTGTGAGCGTTCTCACCTTTGCGGATCTTCATCACACTGGCTGTGGACAACACATTTTCATTGACACGGGTAAACGCCACCAAATTGCGGATTGATGGTGTCAAAGCCCGGATGCGCTGCAAGGTCTTGGCTTCATGGTCTTTGCACGGCTCAAAATCCTTGAACTTGGCCTGCGTCAAAACATCCTCCAAAGTCTTGACCGATTTTGGATCCAAACTGGACACAGTTCCAGCAGCCTCGCCGTCTGACTCTTCCATCTCTTCCTCACTGTCTGACTCTGCTGGATCTGCTGGCTTCTCATCGTTGTCCCCCTCAAAATCTGGATCATCGTCAAACTTTTTGAGCTCGGACTTGAGGACGAGCGCATGCTTTGTGGAGTCAAGGTCATCCTGCAAACACTTGGTCTCAGCCTCCTCTTCTGGGACTCCAGCATCCGGCTCAATCAAATCTTCTTCATCTTCCTCTTCTGAATCCTCGTCTTCGGGGGCCTCGTTCGCAGCACCACCAAATAGCAAGTCATGTCCAGTCTGCTTCCACCACTCCTCCAGCTCCACTTTGATGTTCTCCCACGACTGCTTCGTCTTGCACACGCTGGCCAATCTGCATGTCATCTCCAAAGCCTTTGGTGCCAAGCTAGCCACATTAATAGGGGAAGGAAGCAAGCGGGAAGAGAACTCCTGCGCAGCTCAAACATCAGAATATTATTTGAATGGTCTCCCAGTAAACCACCACTCCCAAAATAATTTGAAAGTTGAAGCAATCCACATTTCAAGAGGGGCCGAGCCTTTTTGGTATTTATTTTGGAGGGTCACCCCCCC